ATTCAAGAGGGGAGAGGAGAATATATATTTTATAGTCAAGGAAAATGAGGGAAGGCAGGATTTAGAAATAGAGGGGAAGGCAGGTCAAGAAGGGAGGGGAAGGGGTAAAAGGCTAGAGAAAAACATGATCTCAAGGTGGAACAGTAAGGGTGAAACCCCTGGGGAAAGGGGATAGCATGCTGGACATCACCTCAACATTGTCATGTAAGACTCTTTAAGGAGATGCTGTTTCCTTGCCTATGGGAACTGCTGATGTTAGCTGCTCAGTCATGTGACAATGCTTGGGCCTAGTGACTCGTTGCTGAAACTGAGCATTGTTACATTGGAGAAGATAATATGATCCCCCATTCCCAGAATCACTAGACATGAGGCAGAGGAAGCTTGAGGAGCTCTGGCAAGGTGAGTGGGTTATTGGTTTGGAGCTTATGCATAGACGCTATCACTTTGTCCTAAATGGGCAAGGTGAAAGTGTTTCTCAAGCCTAAAGCTGGGTACACATTTTTTTTTCATTAGACCAACTCCTTAAGGGTTAAGGTCAAGGAGCACCTGCTTTTTGCACCTTGCTCCATCTTCAAGGAAACAGTAGACCTGCTCTGCTGCTGGGATCCTGTAGAGCTCCTCAGGGGCAGCAGAGAAATACTATAACTTTCCACTGCTAGTCATGGATACAGTATTGATCTTTCCATCAGCTTTCAATCACAGCAATCTGCCATCTACAGCTTAATTTGTTTTCCAATTCAGAACAACTAAATTATCCAAAATGTGGTGAAAATTGACTTGAATGTCATTTCCACTTGATTTCCATGCCAGTTTTGATCCTTTGGGCACTGAAAACTGGGAAATAATGTGTAGTTGAAAGCTGATGAAGATAAAAGTGAAACGCGTAAGTTCAGATATTGCTTACCATTGCTGAAAATAGAGAATGAAAACATTACAAACACAGATAGTATTATTTTCAGCATCCCCTTCTACTTAGGACATGGTAGTGTCCGCTGCTGGGCTATACTCTCTGGCAGTGTGGTGCATGAATCACGAGACTCACTGGACAGAATTACAAATACTTTGGTAGATAAAATCGAACATATATATGCTGTATATATAATCAAAAGAGAAAAAGAAAGAAAATCTCACTGTGCAGTGTTGTTTTCCTGCAGTTCATCTTTAACACCACGCATGCTCTGGCGTGCCTTTGATCTGAACACTTTGATATCAGTGAGTCTGTATGAGTCACAAAACGGCTTCACGCAAGCTAAAGCTGAAATCCAGGCAAGAAAGAAAAGCCACCAATCTAAAGTGCAAGATCCATGTAGCGATGAAAGATGTGACTAACTTACTAAACTACTGTATTTGTCTTCTTCTTAAGGCTTAAAGCCTAATTCCACCTTTATCCTTTACCAAGAATACAATAAATGAATAATAAAAAAAAATGTACATTTAGAATTTTTGTACATTGGATCACAGGTACAATGCTCTGGCTTCACAGGCTATTTCTCCTCCTGCATGTTTGTAACGAGGTACAGACCATCATTTGCAGGTCTGGAGGAAGTATCAATGAGCTACAAGTAGGGTGATGTCACTGCATGTGTGCTCTATTGAGAATTACAAGTTCCTCTGCTGCTGGAGGATGATGGGACTTGTAGTTTTTTTTATTCACATATTGCAAATTCAAATAATGACCAGAGCCTGTGGGGAGTAAAAATCCTGGATTCTGAGGCAGGCTGGTTTGGGGGGCTACAGACTGTGACCATGTGTTATGTTATACCCTATATATTGGTGTAAAAGGTCAAAAAGATGGACTTTCCTATCTTTTAAGTAAGGTCAGGAGAGACCCTCTTCCTCCATACAAACAACACTCCTTTATAGCTTTAACGATAAATGCCCTAAAAACTGACCTAAAAATGCAGTCACTTGGCATGCCTGGTCCCAAATCTTCTTGTCTCTTGTCTCTACTGCAGAGTGGGTAGATTCTTCTTCAGGTTCCCATATCACTGCATGGTGACGTTGATTTCTTCCATTAGCTCCATCACCAGGGTCTTCACAAGGTATTGAAGATTTCATCCATAGTTCCATAACCTCTGGTCAGTGATGGTCCTCTACTGCACTCTTGCTCCCCATAGATTTTTATAGGCTCATCAAATGTTTATGCTGATGGACTTATACAAGTCTATGAGAAGAGAGAGCACAGGAATGACTAGTGCTAAGAACATTTCTGTTACCAGGGGATGAAGGGCTGAAGAGGACTGGTTTGTTGTATGATATGTATGGTTCTGTGGAGGTGGGGGATGATTTCATTTTAACCAAGGATTCCAGAGATCTGTATTTTGTTTAAAAGTACACTAATCCTTTAACATCCCGGAAAGAGTCAAATAAGCGTTGCGGCTGTCAGACGTTTATGGAGATGCCCATTTTTATGTCATTCACCCCACGCTTCAGTAATAGCAGTCAGGCTTTTGACATGCAGTCAGTCTTTTCTTTATTGAGCCATTTTAACATAAAGATTTCTTTTAAACTCTTTTTACTTGTATTACAAAGTGCCGCAAGGTTGGTTTGCTGCAGGCAGAAGAACCTTCCTTAAGACTGTTCTTCACTTTCAGTCCTATCAGATAAAAGTGATTTAATAAAGACAATCTGATAAGTAAGGGGAGAGTTCAAGAGCAGAAAAATATGCATTTCTTTTACAAACTTTGTTTCAAGGCTAGCAAGACTGTAATGGAGCTGATTCATCAGCACAGTGTACATTGTGTATGTGAAATACTCTCCCATCCATTATGTCCTCTTAACTCATTTTCCCGATCACTGGTTCTTTTAAATAGTCACTTTGCTTGCAGAGTTAACGCTACATCGCTCAGTGATATATTTATGTACTTTTCTGTCCAGGCAAGCCTCAGATGGAGACATGATATAATAACCTGTGTAGCCAGCGTTAAATGTAAAGGTTCCAAGCATAACACAAACATACTATATTAACCTTGGGTTATTCCGGCCATCAAAGGAAAACAGTTGAAACAATATATTGGTCTCACTCTAATGGGCCCATCTATAATGTGAAGACAGCTGGCAGATTTAAAGAGCAACTCCAAAGCATGCTGAGAACAACACACTTCAGATACATATCTGTGAACTGTTACTCCAGCCCAAGTATTTAAAGCCCAACTTGGGGAAATCTGAAAATTTTCCTAGTTACATGTTCATTTAGTTTTTTTACTTGCCCGATCCTCCGCTCCCCTGGAAGACGATGCTGCTCTGGCGGTTTACTGTCCCTCACCATCCTCAAGTCCCGTGCAGGGCTGAGGACCCTACATCAGTCTTGATGATGTTAGGACCTTAGACCGATTGAACATTGAGGAGAAGGAACTGGTCTAGCAGCACTGAGGAGTGGGTAAGTAAAACTACTTTTACATACCTCCTAGACCTTAATGAGAAATTAACCTTGCATTGCAGGTGCAGCCCCACTGCTAGGGGTCATTTTCAGGTTTCTTGAAGTTGGGCTTTAAGATTTAGTCCAGTGAAGCTCTGCCAGGCTGTGTTAGGCTCCGCTACACCTAGTTTGCTTTTTGTCCTTTTTTGAAGAGCTTTCGCAGTTCCTTTTGCGTTTTTCTACATGCGTTTTTGATATTTTTGCCACATTTTGTTCAACCCTTTTTTTTTTGTTAAAGTGGATATTTTTTGTTGCTGGGCAGAATAAAAATGCAAAATGCAGCAAAAAACGAACTGCCATGCATTTCAGCAGCTTCTCCAGTGAACTTTATTGTAGCAATAAAGCTGCTTTTTGCTTTTAAAAAAGTCCCTGACCCTTTCCAAAAATGCAGCAGCTCAAAAAAAGCATAGATGTGTACATGTTCCATAGGAAACCATGTTAAATGAACTGTAGTGCTTGCAGTTTGCAAAGATCACTAAAAAAATGTGTGAATGCAGCCTAAGAAGTAAGAAACTTCAAGAGGTAAAAAAGTAGGCTTTGTAGCTAAAATTTAAATAAAGAAATAAATAATAAATAAATAAATAAGAAAAAAAAAAAATATATATAGTGATGCTGCTACAAGAAGTGAGAAACCTCAAGAGGTAAAAAAGTAGGCTTTGTAGCTAAAATGTAAATAAAGAAATAAATAATAAATAAAATAAAAAAAATATATATATATATATAGTGATGCTGCTACAAGAAGTGAGAAACGACAAGTGGTAAAAAAGTAGGCTTTGTAGCTAAAATTTAAATAAAGAAATAAATAATAAATAAATAAATAAGAAAAAAAAAATATATATATATATAGTGATGCTGCTACAAGAAGTGAGAAAACTCAAGAGGTAAAAAAGTAGGCTTTGTAGCTAAAATGTAAATAAAGAAATAAATAATAAATAATAAAAAAAAAAAATATATATATATATATATATATATATATATATATATATATATATATATATATAGTGATGCTGCTACAAGAAGTGAGAAACGTCAAGTGGTAAAAAAGTAGACTTTGTAGCTAAAATTTTAATAAATAAAAATTATATATATATATATATATATATATAGTGATGCTGCTACAAAGATTTAGAAACAAAGGCTTTTACTGTATATATCTATTTATTTAATGTGTTTTTTTAGTAATACAACCAGTGTTAGTATCTGAATTATACTTAGTATCGTCCCCTTGTTATCCCCTGTACAGCAGCACAAAGAATGGAGGAAGCAAGGGCAGCACTAGCAGCCAACCAAGTAGGTATGTGCTGATGTGAATATTGGAACAGCAAAGCAAGCAGAGGGGTGACTCATTACTGTGCTGCTGGCCCTTCACATGCCAGTAACAGGCAGAGGACAGAAAAGTAGTGACAGCCACCTTGGTTTGCTGTCCGATAAAGTTGTGTATATCTTACGAGCAGGGGCGGACTGATCATTTGGAAACTCGGGCACTGCCTGAGGGCCCGGGGTCAGTAGGGGGCCCCATGAGATGCCCCTGGTACCTTTTTCATAGGCTTTTTTGAGTTTGGGCAAGGACACAGGGGCCCCATGATCCCCTATTGCCCGGGGGCCCCATGAGTTGTCAGTCCGCCCCTGCTTAGGACTATCTAAGGTAAGCAAATGGAAGCCTACTTATTTCTCACAAATTACCATTAAAGCCCCCCCCGGACCCTGCATTCATTATATGTGGTCTCCCAGGACCCTGCATTCACTATATCTGGTCTCCCCAGACCCTGCATTCACTATATCTGGTCTCCCCAGACCCTGCATTCACTATATCTGGTCTCCCCGGACCCTGCATTCACTATATCTGGTCTCCCAGGACCCTGCATTCACTATATCTGCTCTCCCCAGACCCTGCATTCACTATATCTGGTCTCCCAGGACCCTACATTCACTATATCTGGTCTCCCCGGACCCTGCATTCACTATATCTGGTCTCCCCGGACCCTGCATTCACTATATCTGGTCTCCCCGGACCCTGCATTCACTATATCTGGTCTCCCCGGACCCTGCATTCACTATATCTGGTCTCCCCAGACCCTGCATTCACTATATCTGGTCTCCCAGGACCCTGCATTCATTATATCTGGTCTCCCCGGACCCTACATTCACTATATCTGATCTCCCAGGACCCTGCATTCACTATATCTGGTCTCCCCGGACCCTGCATTCACTATATCTGGTCTCCCTGGAACCTGCATTCACTATATCTGGTCTCCCACAGTACACAGAACATGAAAATGCAATTATTTTAGTAAATATAAACTGTTAAATACATTTTCTCACCAGCAGTATATAGCAGTCTTGTGACTTCTATCAGTGTTCAGCCAAGCACTAGCTAAAGCTTCTAGGAGGAGTTTTCTTTCTGCTGTAGTAGGATGCAAAACCCCTGATCTCTGTATGGACAGTGCTGATTGGCCCTGTGCTGATCACATGCACTTGCTCAAGAAAAAAAAAAAAAACCTCTCTAGCAATACACACCAAACTGAGCATGTGCAAAATGCCTACAGTTCAGTCTGTCTTATCTGGAGATAAGAGGTGGTCACTTAAACAAGGGGAGGAACAGAGCAATCAGGATCAAACAGCCTTTTTACACAATGCAGAGGATTAACCCCTTAGGTTCCACAGTGAATATAACAAGCATGCTTTACTGCATATACAGACTGATTTTACTGTTGTGGGTTTAGTATCATTTTAATATTTACAGTCTGAAGGAAAGAAAGGAAAGGGGAGACATGATTAAAACCTTTAAATACATCAAGGGGGTGAATAATGTTCAGCAGGGTAGTATTTTTAATATGACGCTTAGATCCAGAACGCGGGGACATGTCCTCCAACTTGCAGGAGGATAGTTCATAACTAATATTAGAAATTCATTTTTTACAAAAAGAGTAGTTGATGCTTGGAATAGACTTCCAGCAGAGGTAGTGAGTCAGTCAACAGTAAGTGAATTCAAACATCTTGGGACAAACATAGATCTATATGTAGACAAAACTAAAAAATACAAATATACAGCATGTATACATTAAACAAATGGGGCAGACTCGGTGGACCACTTTTTTCTGCTGTCACTTCTCTCTGTTTCTAAGTTTACAAAAAAAAACCTTTAACTGTACAAAAGAGCTAATTATGTTCTGGGATGTGCATGCAGAGCTGCATGCAACATGGAATGTTGTGTACAGGGCCGTCTTTGAGGAGAGGCAAAATGGGCAGCTGCCCTGGGCCCAGTCATTGTTGTGGGGCCCAAAGCAGCAGCCCCATACTTGCCAACTGTACTGGTTTACATTCCCTTGTCCCTGGAAGTCTTTGTCCCGGGCTGTGTCCAATATCTCAGTATCTCACTGCTGCCCAGCTCTGTCTTATTGCCATGTACAAATGATTCACGTGTCAGCCACCAACACCTCTGCTAGTGGTCAGTGTAAATTCCCCCTTACATTGGTGGCCAGTATAGAAATGTATCGGTTGTTGGTGTCAAATTCCCCATTACATTGGATGTCAGTGTAAATTCTTTATTACATTGGTGGTAAGTGCAGAATTGTCCTTACACTGGTGGTCACTGTAAATCCCCTTACATTGGTCATCAGTTTTAATCCCCCCTAACATTGGTGGTTGGTGGAGAAATGTCACCTCCCATCCCCATCCAGCACTGCCACTGATCCCATACACCCCAAGCACTGCCATTGATCCCATCCCCCCACGCACTACCACTGATCCCATCCCCCCATCAGCATTGTCACTCATCCCATCCCCCTAGCACGGCCATTTATCCCATCCTCCCCACCACTGCCACTGTCAAGGATTCCGTTAAAAAACGATCACCCTGTCACGTGTCCACCACACGCCACGCCCACAGCGACTAGCTAACCGTGACGCACGCGTGCGGCCGCGACAGGGTGGTAAAGAGGGGATAATAAAGGGGATTTCACTTAAATATCTCAAACCGTATATAAGATCAGCCGTGATACCTTTTCACAGCCCGCACTACCTCTGGCCACCACCAGATGGAGACTCCACTCCAATCCAGCTGGTCGGCCACACACTGGCAGATACGATCTTACATACAACCTGATGCCCTGATTAGAGTTGAGGACCAGCTTAGTAATCACACACCCTTCTAAAGGTCCCTTCAGCTATCCTAGCTTGAACCCCGGTGTTGATAACCCTTCCACTGTCATCACACCCCCACACCAGACGCACCACAAAGGTAGCCTGCCACCACCCAACAGTTTATCCGCAGAATGGTCTGTTGAGACACCACACACACACAGATCTCCGTCTGGCAGATCTGTTACCTTTGCAATCTGCGTGCAATCTGCCCACTCACAGTGCAGTTGCATACAGATTGGCAATGAGCTTAACCGAGCGTTTTAAAGGCACTAAAATACAATACAATATAACCCAATCTAGTCTCACCGATCTAGTCTCTCCGAAGATATGAGCACGTGCTTAAATACACAGAAGTTCACTAATTAATTTTAAGATTTAATTTCCCAAAGTGGGCAGTGCATAAAATATGTACAAAAGATAAAAAGGTTACAGCAAATACAAAGATATAAGAAGACACACAAATGACTAATTACTATAAAATAAAAGGGAATAAAAAGACAGAATAACACTTTACCCTGCGGCTGGAGCAAGCCAGAAACTTGGCAATCCGCTAGTCAATCGAACCAGCTCCGTACGAATCACCCTGTCCAAATGTCCATGCGTTCAATTTATTGCGATTTGGACATGGGCGGGACATTAGTCTTCGGCCAATTGACTCTGGGGGAGGTGGTCCTGACCTGCCCACAAGAGGTACTGTGTATGGACCTGCCCAAGTTCAATTGGGCCGAGACTGGCCTGAACACCAAGTCGGGGATTGGATTTCTGACACCGGCGCATCAGCCTGATCGCAACAGTACCAAACACCATCCGACTGTCGCACCCCCGCGTCATCTAATCATTCCATGCATTTCCCTGGCTTCCTCCCCAAGCCACAAATATGATTCTTATATGTAAATGTAGCGCACAGATTGGTCTGCACAAAGGAAGCTTGTTCATATCTCTCCAACTAATATTTTGGCTTTTATAAGAGATTAAACATACTTCTTTGATGTGAATATTACTTATAGAACTTTCTACAAAAGGCAGACAGTCTGTCTGCTGTCACTGACTTTCCCAGAAGGTGATAACCTGATTGACACACAAAAGTTGTCACCTCCAGGAACCTGGCTTTAGACTAATTAATGCTAAATGATGATTGGGTCTGTAAGGCCTATTGAGGAATTGTGTATACATACACATCTGACCCCAGACCATTTGTACCTTCTATTCATTTCCCTACTGCTCAGGGGGCTCAATGTACATCCTTAATTTCCAGACTGTTCCTGCACACACCTTTGTAATGAAAGGGCCTGACATAATCTAATCTACTCAACCTGTCATGGCTATGATTCCATATTTCCACTCAAATCTTACATGTCCGTTACAATAAATCTTACATGTACATTACATCTCCCCTCTTCCAGATGACGCATAGCTGAGCCTAAACGGGTCGGCTAACGCGTCTACATGGAAGGTTCCCTAGGTTGGGGGGGGGGGGTTCTCCCAACTAAAGTTTGACACCGCTGACAGCTCAGCCCATCCCCCTGCCGATGGGGAAGGGCTTCTGCCCAGCTCTCTGACTGATCCCAAAGGGTTTGGGTCACCACTGGCCAGCAGATCCCCCCGCGGATCCATTTCATCTGCTGGCCACCGACTATCGACTGGACGGGTACTGGCAAACCTGTCATTGTGCGCTGTCAACATTTTCAGCCACTGGCCAGGGTCATCTGGTGGTTCGCTATTGGCTGCAACACCCAGATGCCTGAGCCTGACATAAGGTTGTTCCTGGGTGATCTGGACCTGGTTCCATGGCTTGGATACCAGAACCTCCACCCTTGGACCTGTCTCCCACACTTCTGCTCTTTCTGCCTCAGCCAGAGACCGGTCAGCACAACCCCTGAGTTCCTCCGGGCTGACATCAAACCTATCAGCCAGCATGAATACAGGGTTGTCAGATCCAGCCTCTGAGAAAGCAGATTCAGAGGGGGTCAATGTTCCCCCATCATCCTGTGATCCTTCCCTTGCTGTGCACAGCAATGAGTCCTCAATCATGATACTCATAGCTGTGGGGACAAAGGATAAATCCACAGATTTTACTCCACCAGGGGTCATCCTCTGACCCGTGCCACACCCTTCTACTCTGTCCTCCTCAGCAGAACATCTGTCAGCACCACCCCTGAGCTCCTCCGGGCCAACCTCAAACCTGTCAGCCTGGAAGGGCTCAGTGATGTCAGCTGCAACTGCTGAGGTGGAAGACACTGATTGGGCTGAATTTGCCCCAACATCCTGCAGACTTCCCTCTGCAACACACAGAAATGAGTCTGCACTGGCAGCACCCATGACTGTGGTGACAGAGGGGAAGGTTACAGGAGGAAAAATTCCACTAGGGGTTATCCTCTGACCCACATCACACGCTTCTACCCCCCCGTCCTCAGCAGAGCGTCTGTCAGCACCCATGAGTTCCTCTAGGCTGGCATCAGATGTAACAGCCTCTGGAAACTCAGTGCCGTCAGCCACAGCAACTGAGGGGGTAGAGTCAGAATGAATCAGACTTAAACCCTCACCCTGTGGTCCCTCCTCTGTGCTCCACAGTCCAGGATCCAAAATGGCATTACTGGTATCCGTGGTGTCAGGGGAGCAGACAACAGAGAACTTCATCCCACAAGGGGAGAGGGGCACACAACACTGGTCTACTGAAACCCAATGTGCCTTTTCCCCGGGGACTTCAGAAGAACATCCTGTTGCTTTACATAGGGGTAAACAACCAAATTTCTTTGGCCCACGCACCCCCATCCTGCTATCCACCGCTGGCGGTCCTTCAGCCAGACCCCTGAGATCCTCTGGGCTGCCGTCAATTCTCACAGCTCCAGGGGACTCAGAGCTATCTGCCACAGGTGCCAGGTAGACAACAGTCTGAGGAGACCTTAGGCCCTCTGGGCCAGGTCCACAAGGGTCCAACCCAGCTAGATTGGGCCCTTC